TGTCAGCAAGACTCCCCCAACTTCATTTAACTTGTGTTCGGTTCTGTATTAAAAAAACTCATTTTAAGTAAGTTAATTATTTGAAATTAATTTTGATTAAAAGTAATTTGAATATAAAATAACTTATATTAGATACCTTTACAAAAAGTGAGTTGATTAGAATTGATTTTAGAGACAAAATTAATTAATCTAAAAATAATTAAATATGTCGAAATCAATTTTACTATCTAAAATCAATTATAAAAGCTCCAAACACAAATTTAATCTCATTTTTCCTTCATAAATAAATCCATTGCAATTTTACTATTAACATTCCAAATATTCGGAAGTATGAGTAAACTATTCATAAGAAGAAAAATAATCAAAATTATTTGAAAGGCTACCAATTTGGTACCAGGCATATAAGTTACCACATTTTTCAAATGATAAAATATTCAGCACATGTTTTATATTTTTGGTTAATAAGCATAATAAATACTATGATGTTTTGACATTTGAAAATTTTGAAATATATATAAAAATGCAGAATAGTTTAACTTTTAATTTTGCATTTAGCGACAACTTTTTGTAATAACCGAAATTTTTGCAGTGTGATATTTTTGAAGAGAAATAATAATAAAATAAATTTACAATTTTAAAAGGAGGAGATTGGTCATTACCATGAAGGAGTATTTTTTTTTGTCGAAATATTATGAAGGAGTATAACAATAGACTTTAATGTTTGGGCTTAAATTGTCTCGGGGCGTACCTTGTCGCATGACTCAATTATATGTAGGTTTTAACTTACTACCTCCCCGCGATGTATCTAGAAACCCCTCAAAACGTATCAAAAATCATAATAATCTAATTCAAAGTTTTTCACAATTTTTCGAAATTCACAGTTTAGAATAATTTTTTTTTTAAATTCAGGGTGATATCCAAAATTTCACTTTATACCAAAAATTGTTAAGAAAAAGTAAGAAATTTATCGTAAAAGGGAAAATTTTCGAGAGAATTTCATGAAAATTTTATAATTTTCATAAGAAATTCAATGAAATATAAAAAAATCCAGTGTTTTTTTAGGTTATTTTATCGAAAATTTTAAAAATTATGGTAGTTAAATTTTTTTTTTTGAAATATTCTAGAAATTTGAAATTTTCGATAGTTTATTTTTTAACAAATTTTTTTGGTGTTTTTTCATTTTTTTTTCCAGTGAGGATCAGGGGTAAGGACGATTCCATTGGGGACATGTTGACTGATAGAGCGACAACTCAGGCCAGGGTTGATGAGGCAGAGGCTTCCCAGCTACGGGCTAGACGACATCCTCCGACCAATTCTCATGCGGAGGTACCTAAGGCTCTTGTTGTGGAGGTACATGTACCTGCTGAGGAGGTTGATATGGAGGAGGTTGTTGCTGACGAGGTTCTTGTGTCGGCTGACCAGGTTCTTGATGCTGATGAAGTGTCTCCTACTGGTACAGATGCCACGTCTTGTGCGTCTATAAAGCTATATGTTTACACAAATGTAGCCTTTTTGGGAGGATCTAGTGACTGATATGTGCTCACAGGGTATGCTGACTATGTCGCATATGAGTATGGAAGGGAGAGGTATTATTGTTATATGATTTGGTGATGTGTTGAAAGTTTATCGATAATTTTTTGTAATATTGTTTCCTACAAGAACGTCTGACGCTAGGGAGCCTTCTGCTGCTAGGGTTTCTGGTGTTGAGGTACAAGCTGACGACGTGCAACCACCACCACTTCCACTAGGCACATATGACCATGATCGTCTCCTGTTGATTGTTGTTATTGCAGATAACCTCATGGATTTGGTAAATCCGGATGGTGAGGTTTTTACAGGATTGTCTGGGCTAGCACACATGGCTTGTGGGGGCCTATGTAGATCTATTATATGATACTTGTATTATATGTATATCTTGTGACTAAGACTACTTATCACGGTATTTTTTATAGCATAATATTTTGGCGATTAGAAGTTTCGATTCGAAGATGAACATAACATAAAACAGTACAACAAACATAAATTTTAAAAAAAAAACTAAACATGAAAATCTAGGTACTACCAAATGATTTTGGACGTTTTAGCATCTTGATTATATCTTCGACAGATCTTGTAATCCGCACATCCAACTCGATCAGACCCTTAGTTATCCTACGTCGAAATGATTTCCACATGATCTTCACATCTTCATCAATCTTCAACTCAATCAGGTTGTATTTCACCATTCCATTTGTCAATCCAATCTTCATGAAATTCGATCTTTCTCTCCCTTCTGTTAACGGTATCATGCAGCAATTTATTCAACTTGTATATCAAGTTAGCTAGAGATGTGGTGCCATCTTGAAGCTTGAATTCAACAGGAGGATTGTTTCCTTTGAAATACACTTCTACCTTAATCAGAAATTAAGGAAGAGACATTTATTTAGATGTCTTCCTCTACAACATGTGTCCCTATTTATACAACTTTAGATTCATTCAAATCCCACAAATTTGTCGGTGCGATCACAACCCTACAAAGATGTCGATAAAATCTCGATCGTTAAAATTTTGAGTCATTTACACTACCAAAAATTTTATGATTCAACTAAATTTCCAATATAAAATGGGAGATTTTGAAATTCCCGAAAAATATTGTAACTTACCAAAAATTTCAAATGAACTACTGAAAAATTTCAAATGAAATATCATAAATGTTGTACCGTATCCGAAATTTCAATATTGTACTAAAAATATCGTTTGAAAATTTTGTTCTTTCATTTATCAGGGGTATTTTTGGGATTATGAAAATATGGGAGTCCTGTGTATAATTTTGGGGGTAGTAAGTTAAAACCTCAATTATATGGAACATGGGCTTGAAATTTGAGCATCCTCTGACTCAAAGAGAATGAATATAACTTTTGGGATTACTTTTTTCACCCTTAAGAATACTCTTCAACCACTATGAAAAGTCATAATTGCTCTCTAAATTTTAAAGATACATCTTCGAATACATTTATATTACACTCACCCATCACTTCAATAAATAAGACACCCTTATTTTATCGAATTTAATCTGAATATACATTTCTAGAATATTTCGGAAATGCATTTTCATAATCTTTTTATTTTTATATAAATTTAGTGAATGAGTTTTTCTAATGTGCAACCAACTCATTCACTAAAATGTTGGATTATTTCCAAGTAAAAAGACTCAATTCTCTTATTATCGTTCCAACACAGCTTGTTCACATGATTCTAAAACATACATGATACACCTCCTTCACCAACTTATTTTTCAACTGAAAAAAATCATCTTATAAGGACCAATCAAATCAAGTGAATGAAGAATATAATGGGAAGTTCATTTTTAGATTTTTTTTCGGAAATATATTTTTGAACATATATTTTGAATAAAATAAAGACATTTCACTTGCAACGTCTTCGATGTAATTTTAAATACGTTCGAAAAATATTTTTAGATTTAAAAAAGATATTTTTTAATTTTTTAGAATGTGAGATGCACCATTAAGAGTGGAAAAAGTATTTTCCTAACTTTTTCACTCCAAATTCATTATGGAAATTCATTTTTTTTATAAGCTATGGAAAAAGTGTTTACGTTGTTTAAAATATATATTTTAAAATAAACTAATTTTTTTATCAATCATAATAATATACACTTCTAAAATTAGTAGAGAAGTAATATGAAAATGAGAGTAAGTTAATACCTGCAAACAATAATTGATAGGATTTATATATGACAAACAATCACTTGAATAAGAGTAAGGTCCTAGGATTTATATATGTATTAGAAGGAATATGAAAACCCAGAGGGGAAGAAAAACGCACAGACTGGGAAAATTCTCATTGCAAGAAAATATGGTTTGTCGTTTCTGGCTCAGCCTCACAGAAGGGACATAAGGGGTCAAGGGATATACCTTTTCTTTGAAGGTTTGACTTTGTAGGGAGAATTCTATCCAGAAGGGAGTCCTCACCATACTGAAGCCTTCAGAGATGTATCCCTAAAAAACTGGTGTTAAACTCACTAATTCCTCTAAATCCCATTCCTCATGCACCTTTTGAGGCAACCAATCTTTCCCAACTCATCCAGTGGATTTTCCTTTCCCCATTTTTAGAACCCCGTCAAAATCTTGCTAGCATTGACTCAAGTTCATTGCACACCCCTTGAGGCAGCTTGTAACAACTCATGATGTAGCTAGATATAGCTTGAGAAACAACCATGATCAACACTTATTTCCCCATTCTAGACAAAAAAAATTCCTTCCAACCTTTTAATTTCTTCCACACCATCTCAATCACAAGGCTAAAGATTTCCTTCTTAGAACGACCAAAAACCACCGGGAGCCCGAGATACCTGGAGTGTCGCGTCACTGTCTTTACCTCCATCCTATTATGGATCATATCTTTAACATCACCCCGCACATTTTAACTGAAGGATGCTTCAGACTTCTCCAAATTCACCACTTTCCCCGAAGAGTCTGGATACTTCTTAAGGATCTCCAAGACTTTGTCCGTCTCTACCAAGTTAGCACGAGCAAAAAGTAGGTTGTCGTCGGCAAATAAGAGCTTAGAAATAATAGGTGCTTTCTTAGCCACACTAACACCATGTAACTTCTTGTCACGATAAGCTTCCTTGAGCAAACCTGAAAAAATGTCAGCATACAAGATGAACAAATATATGGAGATGAGATCCCCCTAACGGAGGCCCCTCTCAGGCTTGAAACATTTTCTAGGGCGCCCATTCAACATAATTTGATAAGAAACAGAGGATATACATCTGGAAATCACCAAAATAAGAGGCTCCAGAAACCCCATGGATCTCAGAACACCAATGATGAACTCTCATTCCAAACGGTCATAGGCCTTCTAATTATCAAGCTTGAGCACCATGATACATTTCTTCCCTTTGTTCTTCTTCTAAAACCAATGGAAACACTCCATGGCGATAAGAGGGTTATTTGTTATCAACCTGCCTTTAACAAAGGCACTTTGCTCCTTATCAATCACAAAGGAAGAATCTCCTTTATTCGGTTGGCAATGGTTTTTGTAACAACTTTCATAACAATGTTGCATAAGCTTATGGGCCTCAAATCGTTCGGGGAGATAGGGGTTTTACATTTGGGAATACGGGAAATTCCAGTGTTGTTGATGGAGCTAGGGTCTTTGCCACTGTTCAGAATTTCTAGAGCCAGATTTGAGATATCTTCACCAACTATGTTCAAATATTTATGAAAGAACAAAACAGGTAATCTATCGGGGCCAGGGGATTTAAGGGGGTGCATTTGGAAGATAGAATTTATAACCTCACACGTTGTGAAAACCCCACTACACCAGTGAATTTGATTAGGTTTCAACTTACCTCTACCAACCTCACAAACTTCGGGGATGAGAACTGAGGACGACGAAGTGAACATGTCGGAGAAGTAGTTTAGAAGGATTCTTTCACAATGATTTTCACCGTTCCACCAACTCTCATTATCATCATTAAGCTTCTTGATGGAATTGGTTTTCCTTCTTTGGCTAGCTTTCCCATGAAAGAATTTGGTATTTCTATCTCCTTGCTTCAGCCACACCGCCCTTCTCCTCTGCCTCTACATAGTTTCCTCTGTGAGCAAAAGTTGGTTTCTTTGAGATTCAAGAGCTTTGTAGGTTATCAAGTCCTCTTTTCTTACATACCAATTTCCCTGCTTTTCCAACAGACCTTCAATTCTATTAAGCTCTTTAGCCAACAAATTAAATTTGTATTCTTTGAATTCCTCATCTAGTGCCTGCGTAGCTTTAAGTTTAAGTGCACCTAGTTACCACCATTATTCCACAGATTTTTAACAGCCCCTCACACCCAGGGTCTTTAGATGAAACCTCCTCAAATATGAACAAATGAGGTCTCCTTCTATTTCCATCCTCGTCGCAAGCTAAAACACGACAGATGAAGAACTTTGACCAGTGCAAACTTGTTAATAAAATCTTGAGAAGCTAAACCCCTGTCCATCTGACATTGAATATTGTTCTCCTTTTGTCTACCATTAGTCCAAGTAAAAGGATACCCCTCAAAGCCCAAATCTGATAGATAGTCCACAAAATTCCAAAGCTTGACGACTCCACGAGTATTGTAAAGAGGATATATAATTTCCACCAATCTTCTCATTCTCAGCCAACATGTAGTTGAAACCCCCCAAACATATCACCCTATCACCACTTTTCTGAACCAGCTCCTGAACAAGAAACCAGGTCTTGCGTTTATGTTGTTCCTCTAGGAAGCCATACATTCCATTTATGTACCACAATTGGGAATCCAACTCATCTACAATAGAACCACTGATGTGATTAAAAGAAAAGGAAGTAATTGAAAAATTCAAACTCTCCTTCTACAACAAAGACAAACCACCTATTCTTTCTCTACCATTACCAATACAATTGACAGAATGACAGGAACTAAAACCACACTTGAATTGGATATTTTGCATCTCATCACATTTCATGTGTGTTTCCATCAGAAACAACACCATGAGATTTTCTAAACGGTTGAGCCTTAGCAAGGTTCACGGGGACTCACTAACCCCATGCAGTTCCAACTGATGAGTTTCATTGGGGAAGGTGGTGTTAGGATTCCAAAACCACCTCTGGTAATTTTTGAATGTTCTCTCCTTTATTGTTACTATGTTTCTTCCTTTTTTCACCTCCAGTATTCACATATCCCTCAGTGATCATCACCTCTACAAGTTGCCTTTTCCCATTATTACCTTCCAGGTTTTTCAGAGGAGTTTGTTCTGCCTTCTTCCCCACTTTCTTTCTAGTCTATTTCTTGCGAGTATTGGAACACATTTGTCTACGTGATCCCTTACTCTTCCCTGTATTAGAAATATCAACATCTCCCAAAGATTCAGCCACAAATTCAACTTCTAGAGTATTATTTTTCTTTATTATATCTGGTGTTCCATTTTCAATAGCCAAACCTCTGCTCCCCACTGCTTGTTCAAACTCTACCTCCCCTTCTTAATATTTGCCTTTGGACCCACACTTCCTTTGACCTGATGAAATATTAAAAATATTATTGATATAAGTACCTGAGCTAGAATCCTTTCCCTTTGGCTCATCAAAAACACAAGGAAGAGGTGATTCCCTGAGCCAGAGACCAAACGATAAATCTTGATCCTCAATGTCTTCAAAGATTTCGTCCCACATGTTCTCTATAACTTCACAATCTTTCAGCTGGTGACCAAGTCTCTCCTTAAATCTAACGATTGTGCCAGGCTTCAGAGGTTTTTTTAGATCCATCTTGACCTTGATTCGGAGGAAACAACTATTTCGATGAGCTTCCTTTTGATCCATTTCCTCGAAAATCCCCAAGATCCCTCCAAGTTTCTTAGCCATATCCCAGATCTGAGCAAGAGAGGAAGTTCGTAAATCATAACCCAAAAAACACCATAATGCATTTCAAGAGCTGAGGGTTGTTCCTCTCTGAACACATGGTCCAAAAACAGAAGGTTCCTGTCAAAACTCCATGGCCCATTCCTCAAAACATTCTCATGATCTCGCTTCGTGGTGAAGCAAAATAAGATAAGATTTTCATTAAGTTCCTGGGTTTCAACTGAGTTTTTTAGCTTCCAAGTGTAACGTCCGATTGGTTTAATTAATTATTTAATTATATATTTTGGATTAATCGCAAATTATTTTTTGAAATCGTTGACATGTTGTGTTATGTTGTAAGTTGTTAACGTAAGTTGTGGTGTTATTATTAGTCGGTTAAACTAGTTGATTAAATTAGTTGAGTAATACTACTAATAATGTTAGATATCATAGAGTAATAGGTAAATTGTGTTGGACCATGTGATATGGTGGGAGAACTGACTTGTGTGTTTTGCGTTTTATCGCAAATGTTGCGGATAGCAAGAGTCGTCATCGACTTTTCTTTTATCCAATAAAGGAAAGAGTGAAAAGAACAGGAAAGACTTTTCGAGATATTTTTCTTGAGTTCGGGAGGAAGGTTATGAAAAGGGAAGGTATTAGGACCCTTTTCATCCGTAGTTATCTACGGGCTCTTAGTTGCTTGTTAAATCACTTTGAAAAAATGCTTTGTTTAAAATCTGTTTGTGGTGGGTTTTTGAAAGTATTTTGAAAACGCCTTTGTTTTCGGAAAACTTTGTAATGATTCTCGTCTCTATAGGAATGTATACAAAGTGTTGGTTTTGAAAATAGCTCAAAGAAATGTTTGATTTTTGAAGGTATTTTGAAAGTGTAAGTGTGTAAATGGTTTTAGTTTGATGAGCAAGCAACCACGAGCGTCCTACCTACTCAAAAAGTCTTTGTTCTTTTCCTCCTCCTTTAGATGTTGCTATCTCACCGTTGATTGGTAAGTAGCCCCATCATTGCATGTGAAGGGACAAGCGCGGGTCAATCGTATAGTCATAGAAGGCAACTTATGAGACGTTTTAGCAATTTTCGTAAGGGACTAGATCGTTTACCGAAGGCAACATCGAGGGACATCTAGGGACTACGATCTTTTTTATCGAAGGTCTTTGCTAAAACGCCCATATTTGAGGGACATGACTATTTTCCGAAACAACAAGCGAGGTTACCCTAGAGGTGCACGTGTGAATAGTGTGTTTGATTGCATGCATTGTGTTGTACCCCAAAATTTGCCCTCCCATTTTCTCAATATTTTCTCATCACAAGACCCTTGGAGCTCAAGATCCAGTTAGGGTTTCCTCTGCAAGACTTCTCCTAGCACTGTTGACCCAAATTAGGGTTTGTGTTTGCACAAAGATATTTTGACCTAAAATGCCTAAGATGACTTTCATGCTTCATGTTGGACCCCCAAGTTTATCCATACCAAGTTTCAAGCCTTGATTCCAACCTTTGCCCAGTCAATTGGACAGTTGACCTAGAAATCAGCTGTATTGGGGAAAAAGTCAACTGTGGCCAATTGACAGTCAAACCTCATGAAAATTGACCCACATCAACATTATGAACTCATATGGACCATTTGATCAAGTTTGGATCACAATTCCACAAGAAATTTGTTCAAATCACCAAAAGGGCAAAATGGTCATTTTTAGGGTTTTGACTGCACAAAGGCAATTTTTGACTGTTTGACCTAGCCAATGGCAAACCAAGCTCACATATGGACTCAAGGACCCCATGGAATTGTCTTGACATACTCAACAAGTTCAAAAGATCCCAAATACACAAGATTGACAGTTGAATTTTCTAGTCAATTGATCAATTTTTGACTGTATACTGAAAAGTCAAACTTTGACTTTTTGGTCAAAATCAAGTGTCAAGATTCATTTTTCATCAAAACATGCCAAATCATGAAGCTTGTTCATCAAGAAATCAAAAATCACAAATTAAGGTTTGAAATGAAGATTTTTCATAACTTAGAATTTTTCTAAGTTATGAAAAACCCTAATTTTTTCCTAACTTTGTCCCACTTTCTCATCAAGATGCATTTGGATTCAAGGAAAAGTCAAAACATGAAAGTTGTAGTTCATTGCAAAATCTACAACTTTGATTCACAAAGTTTCCTCAAAAGAAGCTTGTAGCTCAAGTTACAATTTTTAGAACAAGGGTACCAAACCATTCTTAACTTAGAGAAATTTTGACCTATTTTAGGCAAGATTTTTGCCTAACTTCAAGACCACTTTTCACATACTTCCACTTGGAATTTCAATTTGCATTACAAAGATGGATTGTAGTACACATTCCAAGCTTTCCAAAATGTCCAAGAACTCATCAAACAACCTCATGGTTAGGGAGAATCGAATTTGGCAAGTTGGGAAAAACTCACTTTGTTTATGGCCAATTTTCATGTTCATACACTTAGGCAATTTTGAACTCAGCTTGAATTCCTTGATTACAGGTCCTATATCCCATTTGCACTCATAAATTTAATGCTAACTCATTGTGCCAAGGTCTTATTTTGTGTGTTCAAGCATTGTATGCAAAATTAAGTCATAAGTAGAAAAAGCATTATGTCCATTTTTGAAAAGTGAAAACTTTATGTCAATTTGCAAATCAAGAGGTACACATCAAATCTATTTGGCACAAGTTTTTGAGCTAATCCCACTGATCAAGGGCAAGCTTAGCAGCACATTAGAGGGGCCTCCATCAGTCTAGAATACAACTTGGCAATTTGTTGCTTAAAGTTAAAGAAACTTGACATAACAACTCCCAACTCTCATTCCAGCAAGAGCAACCTTAAGCAAAGTTATTGTACACATTCTAAACACTAACCCTGACCTGAAACACAAGTCAACCAAGTTCCAAACATCCTCAAACACAGAATCACCATAAAACTGCAAAAACAGGGCATAGGTTGCAGTTTGAATCCCACAGCTCATTTCTATCGTGCACTTTCATCCAAACTAGTTCAAACACTTTCCCTACCATCCATACAAACTGTCCAAAGCATTGGAAGCAGACTGTAACACCTCTATTCAGTTTTGCCATTTTCATTTTTTCCTCTTGCAGGTTGACTTCTGCAGCTTGATATAGTAGGGTTCAAAGCACACCAAGCATTGGGATAGCATCCTTGGACATCAAGCAAGCTATACAAATCATTACCCTGCCTTGTAAGCATCTCCATTGTTGCACACGATTCCAACTGAACAGGTAAATCTTTGGACTTCTATCTCTCAATGTAGGAAGAATTAGCTCTAAGTTTGTGAATAAAAAATGTCATGCTCATGTCCCTGAAGCTATACATATTTTTACTTTCCATTTATTTTGCATGTGCTATGAGAATTTGAGGTCTGGACATTGATAAAAAGTTAGGTTAAGAATTAGGGAGGAAGAAATTCTCCCTCATTTCTGAGAGTTAGGATGAGTTCTTTATATGTCCAGAATCGTGGTTTGATGCTGAATATTTTTCATGTTATGAGTGTGTGCTAAAAGTCCAGGAATCAAGATGTTTGAATCAGTGTAGGAGGTGCGCGTTTTTTGACAAGTTTCTGGCCAGAGGTTGAAGACAAGGTCCTTTGGGTTGGGCTTGTCTTATTTTTCTGTTTACACCACATTTCCACACATGCACCCCCTGGCCCATTTTGAGATATACTTGTTATTTTCCATTTTTTCCTTTTGATTTTGTTTCCATATTTTTATTTAAATCATAAAAAACATAAAAAACATTTTTCCCACATTTTTTGCATTTATTTTGATATTTATTAGGTTTCATTTAGTTTTGTAAATAAACAAATATAGATACTTTTATTTTAGAATAAAAAAATAATAATAATACAAATACTTTTTATTTTCTGACTTTTGTTTTATTTTACCTTTGAAAAAAAAAACTTTTATAAAAAAATACATTTTTTTGTAAATATTAAATATTATTATTTTTATACATATATTTAGTATTTAGTGAATATTATAAATATTTATGTATTTATTAATACATTTAGGTTAAAAACACAATAAAATAATACATTTTATTTTTACTAATATTTAACTTAAAAATTACCTTTTTTATATACTTTCTTCTTTTATTTTTTTTATTTTTTTGGTACATGATTAATAAATATTGTATATAATACTTAATAAATAATTAATACCTCTTATTTAGCAAAATTAGGGTTTTTGCCCTAAACATTCAAAAAAAATTAACTTTTCTTCTATTTATTTTTATTTTGTGAATAAAAAATACACACTTACACAAGAATACCTTCACATATACATTGTTCCATTCTTATACATCTATACATTTATATTTGCGCAATTCAATTTGGTTGTAAATATTGGGTGCTATCCTCCTATAAAGTCTCATCCCCATTTGAACATTTGTACCCCCATTCGCATGATCATTGTGTAATAACTTAGGACTTTTAAATTTCGCACTTTAAATGCTTTCTAAATATGCCATGTTAGAATTAGGGTTTTGTATGCAAATCAAAAATAACAAAATAGTTTGACCTAAATTCAAGATAAACAAGCATGAAAATGGACAACACTAATCACACTTGCACCCCTAGGGTATTCCACTTGTTGCCTTCAATAATGGGCCATATTGCATGCTAGGTCTCTTTGGGAAAAACAACACAATTCAAATGATCATAGTCCCTCGATGACGCTTTCAAAAGTTGCCTAAAATGATCAAGTCCCTTAAAGAAAATTGCCCAAAGATACTTGGCACCATTGCAATTATGGTCTAAACGATGACCCGCGCCCGTCTCTTTCACATCCTAACACAAGATTGTCCACCAAATACAATGGTGGAACAAAATTGTTAAAAGGGTTAAAACATAGCAAAGATCTTTGAGAAATTTAGGGTAGATAGCTCTTGATTACTTGTCAACTTGCAAAACAAAACACTTGCCTATTTTTCAAACCACACATCAATACACTTTCAAAACAACTTTTAAAAACATTGAAAACCT